AATAAATGAGTAAACAAAATCTAAACAGACTCACAGATTTAAGAAACATACTAGTGATTGCCAGAGAGGAGAGAGGTTGGGGGTTAGTAAAATAGTTGAAGGGAATTATATCAATACAATCACTCAGTTATAAAATAATAAGTCATCTGTGTATTATAAAGGATAAGGAATATAGCAATCTTCTATATATACAAAAGCCTAATATGCAAAGTGTCCCCTCAGGAGTTTGACAAGGAGATTGGAAGTTCAATTGCTCACTATGATGTGCGCTGACCACCAGGGGGCAGTGCATAATGAAGGAAAGCCCTGGCTAGCAGCTTGCAGTTGGGAAGAGGAGGCCCCGGTTGGCAGCTGGAAGGACCCAATTGGCCCTGATCACTAGTCAGACCTAGGGACTCTACCCATGCAAGAATTTTGTTCACTGGGCCTCTAGTAATAGTATAATAACTTTGTATGGTGACAGATGATAACTAGCCTTATCATAGGGATCACTTTTTAATGTATAAATGTAAAATCACTATGATGTACTCCTGAAACGAGTAGGATATTTTATGTCAATTATACATTAATTAAAAAAAAAACATTAAAAAACTACGATGTGCTACTATTACAAACTGATCATATCTGCTTTTCATGAGAATGGTGAGCAATAGAAACTCTCATGTATGCTGATGGCAGTATATGCCAGATTGATATAACCCTTTGGAAAATTAGTATTATTGATTAAAAATGATCATACACATACTTAATGTTCTGAGAATTCCTCTTCTAGCTACATACTTAACAGAGATGTGTATTTATAAGAATGCTCAGAGTAGCATTTATTTTAATAGCTCTCAAGTAGGAAAAAAAACACTTAATTGTCTATCCTGATTAGGCTAGAAATAGTGATCTATTTCATACACTGTAATAATATACTGAAATAAGAAAAATAAAACTATTGCTACATGTAACATGAATAAATATTACAAATGTAATAGTAATCAAATGTCAGACACAAAATAATATATATTATAATATTATAAATATATATATGTATTTTGTATATACATTGTAGACATATATATATATCTGTACTAATAAAAGTGTAATATGCTAATTAGACCAGGAGTTCTATGCATATGTATATATAATACATTTATATACATATATTTATATAAAGTTCAAAGATGGACAAAGCTAATATACAGGGTGTCCCAAAAATGTATACACAGCTGATAGCTCCATTGATATTTCTTTCTTTTCAGATTTAACTCACTAAAATTTTTTTAAAATACATTTTATTAATTTTTTACAGAGAGGAAGGGAGAGAGATAGAGAGCTAGAAACATCGATGAGAGAGAAACATCGACCAGCTGCCTCTTGCACACCCCCTACCGGGGATGTGCTCACAACCAATGTACATGACCCTGACTGGAATCGAATCTGGGACCTTTCAATCTGCAGACAGACGCTCTACCACTGAGCCAAACCGGTTTTGGCTTAACTCATTAAAATTAATAATTATTCAAAGTGTGTGCATACATTTTTTGGTACACCCTGTATATAGTTAGAAGTCAAGAGAGTGGTACCTTTGGAAAGAGAGGTAACGGGCAGTATTTAGAAGAAAGCACAATAAGGGATTCTGAGTGCTATAAATGTTCTAGAGTTTTTTTTGCTGTAGGTATGATGGTTTTAAGGATTCAAAATAACTCACCAAGCCACTTATGATTTCTCTTTTTCTCATGCATGCATTTATTTAATATGTTCTTTACAATTTCTGTTACTTTCCTTTTACATAAATGTAAAGTTCTTACTTCAAAATACTCTTGCTGTTTTATTGCTCCATCCAACATCATTTTTGTTTCCAACCATACGCATGTCTGAAAACTTTCCTCTTTTTTTTTTTTTTAATCTCACAGAGCCACTCCTAACAGCCTTTTCTAGAATTTCCTATCTCTATCTTGCTTGACACCTTTAATATTCTCTCTGCCTCTCCTTCAGCTTTATCTTCATTGACCACTCAAGAGATCTGTCTGTCTACATTTTAAGAACTTTCCTCAACCTCCAATGACAATGGGGGGTGGGGGGTGGGGAGTGTTGTATAGCATAAATGTTTGTTAGAACCATTTTATAATGGATCTATCTAAGTCTCCTATGTCACCATTTAACTTCCATAGTATATCAGTTCTTTGTGGTTACATTTAGATGGAACTGCTCACTCATATCTTTATTTGTTTGAAAACTCCAAGAGAACTTCAGTTGGTAGGCACTTATCATATTGTTTAAGTGAACAGAAGCATGCAAAATGCTGAGAGAATGGTTTTAACATTCAAAGTAGTGAAGAATGAGAATTACAGATAATAACTAAGTAAACAAATGTATTTTTATTTTTAATGGAAATAAAGAAAATGAATTTCTGAGCCACTTTCTGTAACTTCATATTGAAGCCTTATGAAGGGGGAGGTGACCACTTAACAGCAGAAGGTGTGTGCAACCCAATAGATAATTTATCCTCTTCTATGTCTACACTGAATTTATGAACTGGGTCTTGTTATCTCAAAATAACACTTCTGAAAACAGAGACTCAGGAAAGGTAAGTAATTTGCTTGAAATCATATAACAATTAAATGATGTAGCCAAGACAAACCACAGTCTGTGTGATTGATTCCAAAACCCATGGTCTTTCTTCTCTGTCTCTTGCTCATTTCTATGAAGGTTAATGAGACGTGTGTGTATATGGAGGGATTTGGGGACTGCTGATTACTGGTATAACGTTTTAAAATATTAATTTTATTGGCTTCCCTTTATTTTGGTGCTTAACATTTAATATCTAAATTAAGAAGACATTATCTTTATATCTTTCTTAATGCACCACTTTCACAGTTATCTATCAAACCAGTTGGAAGTCATGGTTGGAAGTTCCTAGAGACTGCTGATAACGGTGCTAAATTTCTTTTCATTAGTTCCATTCATTAGCTTCAATAACTTAATATATTAGGTAGAACTCACACATAGATTAATTCCATGACTTATTAGTGTTCAGAACAAAACTTGATTGTCACCTTTTAAATACATGACTTCATTGCCGAATCAAATAGAACTGCTATTTAAGGATTTTTTTTCTATTCTATATAGTTGTTGTTTTTTTTTATTATTTAAAGTATTACAAATAGTAGAACATGTCTCCTTTTTCACCTATTGACCTTTCCCCAATCTTCCCACACTCACCCCCCACACATGCCCTCACCCCCCTGGTGTCTGTGTCCAGGGGTTATGCTTATATGTATGCATACAAATCATTTGTCTAATCTCTTACTGAACCCCCCCAACCCTTCCCTGCCTTCCCACTGAAGTTTGACAGTCGGTTCAATGCTTCTTTGTTTCTGTACCTATTTTTGTCCATTACTTTATGTGGTTCGTTGTATTCCACAAATGAGTGAGATCATGTGATATTTATCTTTCTCTGACTGGCTTATTTCTCTTAGCATAATGCTTTCCAGTTCCATCCATGCTGTTGCAAATGATAAGAATTCCTTCTTCTTCTTCTTTATTTTTTATTTTATTTTATTTTTTTTACAGCAGCATAACATTCCATTGTGTAGATGACAAAAGAGGCAAGAGCATACAAGGGAGTCAAAATAGTCTCTTCAATAAATGGTGTTGGGGAAATTGGACAGATATATATAAAAAAATGAAACTAGACCACCAACTTACACCATACACAAAAATAAACTCAAAATGGATAAAGAACTTAAACATAAGATGAAAAACCATAAAAATCTTAGAAGAAGCCATAGGCAGCAAAATGGCAGACACATGTCATAGCAATATCTTTACTGATACAGCTCCTAGGGCAATGAAACAAAGGAGAAAATAAACAAATGCAACTACATCAAAATAAAAGGCTTCTGCACACAAAAAAACAACACACAAAAAAACAAAAAACAAAAACACCATCAATAAAACAACAAGAGAGCCCACTGAATTGGATAACATGTTTGTCAATGTTATCTTTGATAAGGGTTTAATCTCCAAAATTTATTGGAAACTCCTGCAATTTAACAAAAGGAAGATAAACAATCCAATTTAAAAAATGGGCAAAAAACCTAAATAGACACTTTTTCAAAGAGGACATACAGAAGGCCAAGAGACATATTTAAGGATTTTAAATCCAAATTATAACTGTTGAGTGTTGCTTCTCTCTGGTCTCTCTCTCTCTCTCTCTCTCTCTCTCTCTCTCTCTCTCTCTCTCTTTTTTCCTTTTTTTTTTTTAAAGCAAACATATATTAAAAAATAACTTTTTTACAAAAGCATATATAAAAGGACATAATTTAAAAATGGTAAACAATTTAAATATGATTTGGTAATACTTATGAAAAAGCTCTTATTATAGGTGGTGTAATTTCTTAAGATTATTACAGATAAAAATGACTTCCTTAAGGTAAACTGTGCAAAATTCAATCTACTGATAAAATTTTATTCTGCATCTCTCCTTTTCAGGTACCTAGGATTAAGCAAGACTGAATTATATTTATAATGAGTTACAGTGTGACAAACAGCCTTAGCATGTAGCTACTATCCTAAATATTCTGTCTGCTTCCTGTTGACTAAGCAGCTCAATACAGGTGATATCACTGCTGCCTAGAGGTAAACATTGGGACAGTAGAAGATGCTTGCAAGGAGATGAGACCAAAGAACTGATAAAAAGAGGTTTAAAGGAAAATACCTAAAACACAAAGGATTATAAGTGTTTTATATGTAAAGCTTTCTCTCTTTTTTTAACTCTTTGAATAATTTTACATAGTTTTTACATAATAAATTTTACATAATTTTACATGTTTCCTTCTTATTCCCATCCAAAAAAATGCAGAAAGTACAAGTCCATGAAATATTACATAGCAAAAGGAATTTCTGAGAAATAAATATTCACTTATCAATCTACAAAGGTATTTCAATAGAAGTGCAGTCAGTAGGGTGATGTGTGAGGTGCTGTGAGAAGGAGCAAATGACGTGCATACCTTTGCTTGTCCGGCTTTTGTGATGGCGGGCATATTGAAGTGCTGTCCAGTGTAATAATGCATCCCACTAAACAGGATCACTGCAATCGAGTCTCCTTCCTTCTCAATTACTTCAAGGATATCTTCTGTTCTCAAGGTTTCTTCCCCCTAAAGGCACAATAATACATTTCTCACTTCACATTTCCCAATCTAAAGTTCACCATGAGCACTTTCCCGCCATCAGTAAGTCAAAGGTAATTTTTTTTTTCAAATTAAAGATCTTCCAAAATTTGGCAAGAGAGGGGCATTTGAGCATGATTTTTAAATAATGATAATAAAACAGTAAAAAGAGTTTTACAAAGTATAATTTTTTGCAGAACCCTAATTTATTTTCCAACTACTTGTTGCTATTTGCATACCTATAAATTGTTTCCTTCTTATTCCCATCCAATAAAATGCAGAAAGTACAAGTCCATGAAATATTACATAGCAAAAGGAATTTCTGAGAAATAAATATTCACTTATCAATCTAATATTGTGAATTTTTGGTAGAATAAAAATACTTATGCATCTTTCATCTGAATATAACCTTAACTGATCTCTTCTACTAACTTAAGTGTTAAATCTCCTCCACAGCAGTCCAAACATCAAGACCAAACATGAAAAAAAATCCGTAAAACTCGATTATTAAGGTAATTTTCTGCACATCTCCCCACATAATACCAATGATTGGTTACTTAGTAAAAATTGTACATGAATTTAGATTTGGTCTTGCAAGCAACTTGAAAAAATAAAAAGAAATCAGCTAAATATAAAGTATCAAATTGTATCATAACAATTTTTATCTATTTATGAAATCTTCAGAAATATTCTGCAGTGCTAGATCTCACATGATTTTGAGGTGAAAGCACCACTAATTATATTAATATTAGAAGGATTTGAGGGATTTCCATTATTCATAAGTTTTCCTTTAGTTATTTTTTTAATAATTCTTGCTATTTGCTAATTATTGAATCTCATGTAGGCCAAAATAATAGTATATTTGTGATACATATTCTAGTTTCTACTAGAAGCTTAGAATTTGTTTATAAAATGGAAATCTATAAAAATAGTATTGATATTCAAATCTTTGAGTTCTTCAGTGATGTGTTCTTTATAAATTAAAAGGGTTTCAGTAATTTAAAATAAGTCTTCTAAGTAAAATGAATAATATAATAATCTAAATCTCTTTTTATTTAAGATCAGGAGGCAGCAGATCATTGCTTTGCTCTCACATTTCTTTAAGGAATCTAATATGGTTTGTCTACCATAGTTTCAAAAAAATAGTAAGGAAAGTACTCTATATACTAATACTTATTGTTTTTTTTAAGAATCAGTATTAAGCAAATAAATATATTTGTTAAAGATAGGATATGGCTTGGCTGGTATGGCTCAGTGGTTGAGTGTCGACCTATGAACCAGGAAGTCAAGGTTTAATTCCTGGCCATAGCACATACCCTGGCTGTGGCCTAGGTCTGTGCAAAAGGCAACTCACTGATGATTCTCTATCGTCACCGATGTTTCTATCTCTCCCTCTCCCTTCCTCTCTGAAATCAAGATAGACAGATAGATAGATAGATAGATAGATAGATAGATAGATAGATAGATAGACAGATAGATAGATAGATAAATATAGATATGGCAATAATTTTTAACTCATGTGCTGCAAGGATTTTTAAACATGCAACACTCAGCTATTTAGTTAGGGGCACTGACCTTGTGTCAAATAAAAAAATAAAAAAATGACAATAGTCAACACAACAATAGTCATCAGATGTGAATGAATCAAAATTATACCTATTTTTTTGTCATATCAGCAAAAAGTATATTTTTTGATGTGCCACAGAATTTTAGTAACTTGTTTGTATGCTCCATGAGGTGAAAAAGGTTGAAAATCTCTCCTGTTGACTTGCTCTAATCTAGTAATGCTAAAGAGTGCTCCAAGATTATGATTACCTCATAAGTCTTCTTATCACTTGTCACTTTTAACATTAAGACTTGTGATATATTAGTTGCTATATTCCTTTCTGTGAGGAATTAGCTATTTATACATGCCTATAGGGAAAAGAATATCCTCTCACAGGTGTGGAAACTTTCCATTTCCTTAATTTGTTGCATGTTGGCAAATAGAAGTGAATGAAGTAGATTTTAATTCCTCACCATGTTCTCTGTTGAAAGAAATAATTGCTCAAACAGACTGGCAGCATCATTTGTGAACTTAACATTTATTCTATGTGGATATCCTGGTGTGAAATTTACAAGCTGCAGGGTCTGTATGTCAAAGTTTCTACAACTTACTAGTAGCTTTATATCTCTGTTAATGTAAAGTGTGCATTATTTCAGATCCTACACATATTGTCAAGTCTGATGAGGTGTTTCCTTTGTTACCTGTTTAAATATGAAGGGATCTCAGAGAGATAAAGTCCCTAAGTCCCTAACCCGGTAAGTTGGTGGGTCTGGGATTGCTCAGGGGTGGATCAGCCACTAATGAAGCACGAGCTCTTACGACTCCGTCACATCCCTTTCCACACCATAGTCCAAGCTCAAACGAAGATATTTGATACTTGGATTAAGAAGAGACATAAAAGATGGCATTATTCAGTTCCAAAAAATATCACTGGTTTTTAATATGATTGAATGGCATCCACAGGCAATGGCATCTGAAATTGAAAATGATATATGCAATTTGCCATCCTCACCCATTCCACTGAAGAATATGGCAGATTCCAGTGCTATTAACAGTAAACGAATTTGCTTGTAATATGACTAGCCCTTGGAAAACGAAAACAAATATACTTTTGAGTTAATCCCCCATTTTAAACAAAATGACCTATTACTAAATTATAGGGTGTTTTTTTTTAAACGTTCTTAAAAGTTCCATTAAGATAATGAAGCTAGTAAACATCTAAAGAAAATAATCAATACTAAACAGAAGCATGATGAATATATATTTCTCTTTCTCATATACCTCTCTTGGCTTTACAATCCGCATACTTTTCTCAATGTTGAGTCCATGAAGTTGAAGTTGTGATTCAATAGCATACTGAAAAATAAGGATAACTTATTAAATCACAGTGCACAGGCTTTGGCTTCAAATATATCTAAAAATAAATAATAAGCCCTGGCCAGTGTGGGTCAGTTGTTTGGACATTGTCTCACACTCCCAAATGGTTGCCAGTTAGATTTCCTCTCCAGGCACATGTGCAGATTGGGGCTCAGTCATCCATAGGGAACATGCAGGAGGCAGCTGATCATTGTTTTGCTCTTACATCAATGTCTCACTCTCTCTCACCCTCTCCCTTCCTCTCTCTCTCTCTCTCTTCCTTTCTCTCTCTCTCTCTCTCTCTCTCTCTCTCTCTCAAAAAAAATACATATATAAATAATAAATAAATAAAATCAATTAGAAAATCTAAAATAAATAAATAAATAAATAAATAGCAATAAATGTATATGATTATACCCAAGGCCAAGGTTAAAAGTGACTAAACACAATACATTAGAGAACAACTGCTTAATATAATTTGTATGCAGGAATCTGAACATTCTTCGAAACACTAAATAATAGAGATAAATGGAAACTAGACTTCAGAGAGTTACAAGAGATTTTTGGAATAAGAAGTCAAATCACCAAGGCAAGTCAAAATTTCTAAAATATAACCAAAGCACAGTGTGGACTTGCTAGGCTTGAACAGAGATTATGCAAATGGCTCACCCTAGAGAAAGTAAACTAGTTAAAGGAAAGAAACTAAAAAAGTTCCTTGTAATGAGACTACAAGATCTGAATGGGTTGCAATAATAGTAACCCCAGATTTTTTCAAGATATTAATTAAAATTTTGATCCTTTTTAGTATGGTAATGTTATTAATGTGGACATAATTAAATAACAAAGTTACAAGATGTGGGCTAGTACAGTTAACAGTGATAATATAAAGATGGAACTTGAGTTTCTCTATGAGTAAAACTGAAATGCACAATCTACTTTTATCTGTGTCTGTGTCTGGAGCAATCTAACTTCTTATCAACTAAATTGCTGATAAAGTAGCATGCCTTTTTCAATGAACCACAATAATTTTTTTTTTCAAATTATTTATTCAATACTTGCTACATGCTATAAAAATGGACAAATAAAATTTCATATTACTATTCTGTGTAGCCAAAGGAATAAGCACTAGGATATGTATCGGTATGATTTTGTAAAATAAAAGAGCAACAAGAATTAACAAAACATTTATAACTGCACTTGATTTAGACCAGCAGTTTGTTGAATGTTGTTTGAAAAGACTAATAAATCAATGTTCCTGTTCAATTCTTTCCTCCCCTAGCTCATGTTTTACTTGAACAAAAGAAATAAAGCTATAATTTATTTTTAAAATGCCTAAATCAAAAGCATTTGACAGATCTGTTTATTCTAAGTTTACTTAGAAAAGACGAGGGAATAAACATTCAAGTCAGGCAAATGATATGCTTCTCTAGGAGGAATAGACAGGATATAAATATAATTTGAAGAATCTCACATGATCTGAAGGGAAGGCTTTGGCTTCAAGAAGAATTTTGTACCGTTTTGGTGTCGGCTTAAAAAACGATAACTGCAATGAAAAGGATGTATTGAGAAAAGCATTAATGCACAATTACACATTTGGTTAGTTTATACTACACTTTCATTTCATAATCTCTAGCATTTAAAAGGCATTAATTAATTGCAGGTGTCTGTCAAAGGTACCTTTCCAATTAGCCTCATTTCCGATGAATTATAAAGAGAAAGAAGAGACTGGCAAATTCAGGAGAAAATGTGAATCAGAAAGTATAAGTTCTCTGACTTTAAACTTTAATTGAAAAACTATCTCCCTAATGCACTAAATGGTAATATCTCTATTGTAAGACTGAAATATCAGTCTTATTGATATTGATTTATCTTCCACCACTGTTTTGGTTTCTAGTACATACTATTTGCACTGCTTTATTCTTTTATAGGATTTTATTTTAGGTCCAATTAAAACGTTCTTTAGCCCTAACATGAAATGTTTCGCATTCGCAGGGGCACCAGGGAGAAGTGGCTCACTCATTCACTGGGGCCCTTTTTTGTTGTTGTTCCAGAGCTCATGAAGAATGAGGCTGGTGATAATAGTAATTAAAATGATCGCTACTGTTAATTACGTGTTTAGCATGGGTGCTAAAGCAATTGTCACATATGATCACATTTTATACTAATGCATAGCTGCAAGGTAGCTATTATTATCCTCATTTTTTTGCAAAGGAGAAAATTAAGATTTAAACACCTCAAAAAACATACAAATTCAAACAGGCATTAAGTATCTTAGCTAGAAGTCAACCCAGGTATGTCTGAACTTAAAACTATGCTTTTTTACTATGATACTTAGTATACTCCATAAGCCAGTTTCTTCAGTCATATTTAATAATCATGTCTCCATTTTACTAAAAGAAAATATCAATGAGTTCACTGCTTATCTTAGTCATGTAGACATGATTACAAAAACATATTTAAAATGAAAAATATTTACAAAGCATCAAGCAAGTACTATAGATACCATATTTCAAATCAAGAATGTATTTGACACTTATTAAATACTTTGGTTTGGCTCAATGGATAGAGTGGATATAGTGTCTGCCCTCAGACTGACGGATCCCGGGTTCAGTTCCAGTCAAGGCCATATACCTGGGTTGTAGGCTCTATTATAGGCTTGATTGCCAGCCCTGGTCGGGTGAGTACAGTAGATAACCAATCAATGTGTCTCTCTCACATCAATGTTTCTCTCTCTCCCTCTTTCTTCCCCTCCTTTCCACTCTCTCTATAACAATCAGTGGAAAAGTATCCTTGGATGAGGATTAACAAAAAAAGAAGAAGCACCTTAAACATAGAAACTTATTTCAGGTACTAGGTCCCTTTTCTCCAATTTAGTTTTATTTTCACATTCTGTTTTAACCTAGTTCCAAAAATTAATCTACAAAACCATACTGATCCATAATCCCCCCTGCTGAAGTCCAGCATATTGAAAAGCTGTCTTTCTAAAAAGCTCAGTGTTTGCTTGCATTTGTATGTCATGGTTTTGTGTGCTTGCAAGTGGTTTTGCTTTTCACCCACTGTGACTCCTATTCCTTATGTTCTGAGAAAAGAGCTCTTTGCAAGAGTCGACTCTCCCATAAGTATGTAGAAGCTTACCAGGGTCCAGCATGTCCTTCTAAAAATGAAAATAGCCTCACCACTTATTTTTAAGTAATTAAGTCACCAGATGCTCATGAATTAAAGATAGAAAAATGTCAGATTCTGTAAATGAATGTGTACAAAACCTTGATGAGAGAAGAAACTTACCAGTAGAAGATGCAAATTAACAGTCAAAGCATTCATTAGGACTATTTCTTTCTCATTGGCTCCTGCAAAGAAACATCATAATTTAAATTTTTCTATTAATGTTAAAGATACTTGGAAAAACAGAGTAGGAAGGCTTTACTTCTTCATCTTTAGTGTTTTTAGAGATAAGGACATATTTGATGTGTTATCAGAAGGAAATGGAAGTTTTCCCACTTGGCTCATTTTATCAAACTATATCTGGACTTATATGTACATAGCTAGCTAACAATTACAGTTTATTTTTGATATAGTAAACAATAACAGCAAAGTAATGAAGCTTTTGTTTTGTTCTGCAAACTAAAAATGATTTATCCTATTATCAGCTAGTTTGTCAAATTCCCACAGAGCACATTTTTTTTGTGGTAAGTGTATTTCTAAAAGAAATTGTCAAAGAAATGAAAGCCAATCACATTTTTAAAGCTGGTTGTTTCTAATGTCAAATTAAAATGCACCTTCCCTAAAAAGAGGCTACTTTGTCTAACATAATTCACTGTTATTCCAGTGAGATATGTGATAGCTGATAAGACAAAAGAGCTAGAAAGTAAAATACAAGTATGTATCGAATAAATAGCTCTGTGGCTTATTCAAACACACTGATATCAGATAATTTATCTATATAAAACCCTAATATGCAAATAGACCGAACAGCAGAACAACAAAACAACTGGTCACTATGATGTGCACTGACCAGCAGGGGCGCACACGGAACATGGTGGCATCAGCAGCAGGTGGCAAAGTGTGGAACATGGCAGGCGTTGGCCACAGCAGGATGGTGGAACAGGTGAGTGGAGGCACCAAACCAAGGTGGGGCTCTGGTTGATGTCACAGGGACAAGCCTCTGGTGGTTAATGAAAATATTTGCTCTTGTGCACCAAGGTCCTGCCCAAAGCTTGCACCTGCTGCCAGCACTGGCCCTGGGGCACCCGCTGCTGGCTCCCAGCACCATCAGCAGGTGCAAGTGGTGGCTGCTGGCACTGATCTCCCCTCAGGGCTTATCCACCTCCCCCCTGATCCTGAGGGGCAATCAGGGCAGCAGCTGCCACTTACACCTACTGCTAGCGCCTTCCCCAACTGCTTCACCCTCAGCGGGTATGAGTGATGCTGGCAACATCAGTGCATGGGAGCAGTGGTGGCGGGAGCAGGGCTGACAGGAGACCAGGGGCTATAATGGGAGGGGCCAGGTGGGGGCATGGAGGATGGGCTGAGACCCTCCTCTGTGCCCTTTGCAGCCTAGAGGCCCACAGTTTCTTTCAAGGTGCATGAATTCATGCACTGGGCCCAAGTTAATATTTAAATGCATATCTTATGGAGAAAGCATGCAAAACTAAGATATCCACTACACAATTATAATCCAGTCTAATGGCTACTGCTGAGAGTTGTGGCCCTAAAAACAGACCCAGAGATAAGTATGCATTGGATACTTAACTCAGAGCAAAATGACAATGATGATAATACTTTCCCTATTTTTAGTTCTTGCAATATCTCTCAAAGGCAATTAGACCTGTGTAATAGGATAATGTCTCTTTACCATCACTGAGAAAAATGGGCTGTGAGCTTTAATGCTTGTAAAGCTGTACTAAATATTAGAAAAAGAGTATAATACATGTCTTTCATTTTGTACCCAAAGAGATACTTCTGTTAGAGTCCCATTGTAATAGAATAGATAGTAATTGGATAATTACTCTAATTAATAGATAGATTGCAGGATTAGTTTGCATGATGGGAGGCCACTGGAAGGAATTGTATAACTTAGGATTCTAGATTTCAACATATCCATTAAAAAACATACTTTCCTGTTGCATTTGGCAAATGGATCTCCTCACTGGCTAAGCAAGGTTTCTAAACAAGTGGTGGGTGTATGCCTGGTCATTGTAAGGCGTATAGTGTCTGAAATCAAGTGGCACTAGAAACAATCTTATTCTACATTCCACACAGTAACAAAATTTCTCTTAAACACACTATGTAGATATGAATATGATATGCTTTATGTTGAATATAGTGACATATATCTTCTATCATATGAAAATATTTTTGCATTATGGCAAGATAAATGATACCAGCTTTGTTAATTTGTTTATTTGCATGATGGTACAATTTTTTTTTACTGTTATCTCTAAAACTTTATCTAAGGTATATAATCTGGTATTATCCTTAACTCCCCATTAGTTATTTGCATGCATCTTTTCTGAAAACCATTTATTTCATTTAAAAAAATATTTTGGCAGAGATGGTGGAAGGAGGAAAAGAAGGGAAAGTAAGATAAAGAGACAGCAGAATTAACAGAAAGAGATGCATTTGAAAGAATGCATTCTAATGAGAAGAAAGCACACAAAAAAGAAAACATGTCAAAATGAAAAAATAGAAAAATAGAAGAGTCGGGATGAGGCAGAGGAGAATTTCTATAGAAGCTCAGACATTCCATTTTTATTCAATGATCACATTCTGATTAAAATGATTACAGATTCCTGGAAAATTTTAGTCCTCCAAACAAGGCAGTGTTCTGTTGAGATCACCTAAAATTTTTCTTGCATGGGAATGTGATGGACCAGATGTACTGGGCTGAATTCTAGACATACACTGGGCACTGTGCTTCCTTCCCTCACATTCAATGACATACTAACACTGAATCAATTCTTTGTAAAGAATCCCTCACTGACATGAATACTTTGTGCACACACAGAAATTATTCTCCTTGGAAGGTTTTAAATTCAAGTCAATCAAGTCTTCAGAAAAATACTCTCCTCACCTGCAACTAAAGTTAATCAAGGACAGGGTCGGTCTAACATACATGCGTGCACATCTGAAGGTGGTGTTAATATTAAAGTTTCTGAACACTAATAGAAATGTTTATTCCAAGTGTAACCTAAAGGCACTAAAGAATGAAGTGCTCTTAATATCCAAGAGCACTTATTACTTATTAAATATACAAGTGATTTTTAGTGTATTTTAAAAAGAAAAGTTACCCAATGACATATCTCTTACAGTTCAAATTGCATTTCTGAAACCACTGTTCTTCTAATATATTTAAATGTCATCAGCATTTGGTAAGAAAATAAACCTTTAAAAAAAAGAAGAAACTGTTCTTTCAATTTGCTTTTCTTTGTTTCTCTTCTTTTGCCTAAGAACATTTTTAAAAATTAATGTTGCAATTTCAAGAACTCCAGGTATTGAAGGAAAATCTTTTCAAAAGCTTCCCAAAAGTTTATCAGTCTTCGAAAGATCCTCTACCTTGAAGATCATTTGCAACTCACTGCAGTAAATGTCAAGATGTGAACCACTTCATCCCAGATGGGTGTGAGCCAAGGCTCTCATTTGAAAAGTGATTTCCTGCTTGTTTATTTATCGCACATCATTTTTTGCTTTACCAGGTTGTGAAACTTAAATAAATATAAGCTGTGCCTTCTTATCTCTATGCCTGGCAAGCAGAAGTTTATTGAGGCCTTATTATGTGCCAACACTTCTAAATATGGGACATGTACTAGTATGATGAGAAATCACTTAGTCTTCACAGTTATCTGACAAGGTTATCTACTTTGATTTTCCATACCTTGTCAATGAGGAGAGGAATGTCCAAAGAGATGAACTAACTTGCCTAAAGTCTCACCGATAGGAAATAAAAGACAAAAACTTACCCTCTCATACAAACAATAATGAAAATCTCTGTTCACAGTTACATTTTGAAGAGATTTCTACATTGTGTAATCCCCATAAGTGAAATAGAGGAGGCCCATGTTCCTCACAGACTTCCCTCTGAGTCTTTCTAAGTGTGATTGAATTTCAATTAATTTGCAACATGAGGACGTCAGGGCTCCCAGCTGCTTAATGTTTGATAACATGATTCACGATGAGTCTTGCAATTGCCATATCCCTTTCTGTATATTTTATTAACTAGATGCTGATATTATTTTGGATCTGGCTGCAAGATTTGTGCATGGGAGAAGTTTGAGAACTTTCCGGTCTGTTTTTCAAATAGCAAGTTCCTTCGGCCTCTAACGGTGGCTGGTGCATGGCTGAACATTCCAATTCTGTAGAGAGTGTTTCTAGGGGTTATTGCTTTTCTGAGGGTCAACCACAAAGTTCATAAAGCAAATTTACATTCACATGACAACAGCTTTATAAGCTGAAATGCTGATAACTAGCCCCTTGTGATTTTTATGTACCCAGGGAGAAATAGGCTTACTAATAATACAAATAATATTCTTCAGCAATTCTATCTCTGGCGTCTTGATAATATGGTATTAATTATAAGAGAAAGTTACCCCATGTTTTTCAGAGTTGTGGCCTCTCTATAAAATGTTTTAGTAATAGCTTTTCTTCTCATCTGAAATTGATATTCTTTTCTATGTCTATGAATAAATATCATTACTCATTGTCTCTTTCTCCTCTCTATCCACTCCATCAAATTGTACAACATAATAATTTTATTATCCTCATGTTACTTCTTTTTGAGATGTTTTATGATGAAATTAAAGGCTGTTGTTTTAAGAGCCGTGAAGAGTCAATCATAGCCCAAAATATACAACTTGCCTGTTTGCTCATATATACGAAATAGCCTTGCAAGTAGCAAAAGTAAATTTGACTTCTGCTACTCTTTACTGTAGTTTCCACACAGTTATTTTAAATATTTTCTTATTTTACCATCTCTGCTTCCAAAGAGGATGCCAGGTTTCTAGTGTTATAATCAGAGGAAAATTGATAAAAAGTAGATATAGAGTTCCATATATGAAGATAAAAAATAAATCAGAAGCCATTAAAAGTTTTTGTTACTTTAAAGTTTACCAAGTATTCTCAGAACTTTCTAGTAACGGAGGAAAAAAAGGAACCTGCATGGGACTTGTAACAAGATAAACACACAACAAATAAGATAAACGTACAAATACCTTCCAAAGAATGTGTTTCTACTAAAGCAAGCATGTCAAACTCAAAGACTAACAAGGATTTAAGTTTATATAAGCTGCAAACAAACAAAAGTTTCAATTTTCATAGAAACATAGGTTTGGTTTATTTCAATAGAGACATGCTGAATATAAAGGGCTGAAATGAATTAATAATAATTAACATAAAATGATACAACATTTTAATAAAAATTAATGTGTTTTCTTAAACATTAACTTATCAGACACTGAATAACTGCACAAATTAATAAGTATAATGCAAATAAACCTAATTTTCTTATCCTCCAAAAGAGAAATATTTCCTCTTGCACATACCAAACAAATCAGTCCAAGACTAATGACGTGGCAATTGGCTGCTAAAATATTCGCTGCTAGTATTAGTGGAGAGAAATGGTGCACCTGTGCATAAGGCACATAAGGGAAATGAATGCAGCACAATTATACTACTCAGTCATTAGCAAACATTGTAGTTCATTATTAATAACTACAGACCCAGTGCATGGAATTCTTGCATGGGTCCCTAAGCCTGGCTGGTGATCAGGGTCTGACCAGGGGGGTGAAGGAGGGGGAAATGGCACCCGCCTTAGCAGGGCTGGCACCATCTACTCGCCAGCACTGCCTTATACTAAAGCAAATAAAGTAAACTAATTCATTTTCAACTTGACTTAAACCCATTTGTCTAATATATCTATAATAATAAAAGTGTAATATGCAACTCAGCCAAATGACCGAATAGCAGAACGACTGTCTGGATGACCTTCCAGACAACCATGCTGTGACACACACTGATGCCAGGCCAGCTAAGTGGGTGTAATGCGATTGGTCAGGGAGCCCCACCATCCCCCTATGATCACCCTGAAGAGGGAGGCCCAGGCCACTTTCTGGGGGGCAATCCATGGTGGGGCTCCACAATCGATCACCCCAAAGAGGGAGACCCAGAGTATCTGGCTGGTGGTGCTACAGTGGGTGAGCAGGGCCTCCCTCTGCGGGGTGATCGACTGGGGGCCCTGAGATCGATTACCCCACAGAGGGAGGCCCAGGCCACCAGCCAGTGATGCCGTGGTGGGTGTGCGGGGCTGGCCAGCAATCATCCCACAGTGGGAGGCCCAGGCCAGCCAAGAGATCACACCCCATGCCTGCTGCCCACAGAGGGAGGCAACTGGTGGCTGGGGAGGGAGAGGGAGCCCCACACAGATGTCAAGCAGTGGCAGTGGCAGGGGCGGGGCCAGCTGCCAGCAGTGGGAAGGAGAGCCCTGATAGGCCCTGATAACCAGCCAGGCCTACGGGCCTCCCTGAAGGGTCCCGGGTTGTGAGAGGGTGCAGGCTAGGCTTAAGGACACCCCCCCCCTTCCATGTACAAATTTCATGCACTGGGCCTCTAGTACAATTATAAAAATAAAAGAAATTGGGGGTGTAACAGTTACTAAAATTTAGAAGAAAACACCAAGCTTTTAAAATGCTGTTTATAATTATGCTTTAGCAAACACTGTCAATTTTTATTCCTCTGGGCAACAACAACAAAGGAACAAAACAAGCAATAAAATAATAATTAAAATAAAAAATGCCTTCACTCACTGACAATATTTCAAATGAAATATGTCACAAACAGAAACTTAAGAATTTGATCAATATGTGTTATAACTTTGTATGGTACTTCAAAGAGAAGCAAAACATCCTCAGGTTAGAGTTCATAAATATATTTTTTTAAAGATTAAATATCAATAAGTTCAGTCTCTTAACCCTTCTAAACAAAAAAATTTTTTTTTTCATTTTCCTTAAAAATTATGAGATGTGGCTGGTTAGAAATTTCAGGGATTGTTGTGAGGTATGTTTATTTACTAATCATCATCAACAAAACATGGGCATTTAATAAGCAGCAAGAGCTATACACTTTCAAGTGCTCAAAGGAAATCTTTTTGCAAGGCTTTATTGGCTTTATAAACAAATCTCACTAAATAATATCACCTTACCACTTTCCTGGACTACATATAAACATCTTAACTCCTCTTTAGAGAATGATAAATATTAAGCACAAAAATAATAGGATTAGAATGAAATTTATATTCTGAAAGCAAACCTAGGAAAGAAAAAAAACAACAACCAAAAACAACAACAACAACAAAAATCCACAACTAAGGAAATCATATTCTCAGGTTAAATTAATCCAAGGGCTATTTTAGTTTTTTTATTTGCATGTTAGGCCTTTATCTGAATACTAGAGGCCCAGTGCATGAAAATTCATGCACTGGAGTGGGGGTCCCTCAGCTCGGCCAGGAGCCCTCAGGGGTGGGTAGTGACCCAGTGATCAAGGGAAGGCGATGCTCCCATCACACCTCTGCTGCTGCCACTGTCAGCAGCATAAGCCTCAGCTGGCCCTGGTTACCTGAGCTTCGGGTGGCCCCGGGTGGCTGGGCAACCACCATCTGAGCCTTATTTGTGCCTTGGGCCAGCTCTGGTCAGCTGGGGGGTTGAGGGGACCAGGGGACTCTGGACGCAGGAGTGCAGGCGGGGCTGAGGGGACTGGGCACTGCCATCTTTGAGGATGGGACAGTCAATTAGCATACCCCCTCCTTATTGGCTGTGGGTGCCGCCACCTTTGCGATGGTGTGAGGGTAAGTTAGCATATTCCCTCTTTATTAGATGGGATAAGTAGCTTCTAAAAAAAATGAACACAATGAAAGAATCATTGAACAACTATTTAACACATCTTTAAACATAATCCAGGATTTTCTACATTAGAATACACAACCCTCTAAATAATGCTGACAGCTGATCAAGTGCTGTGTTTCCCAGAACTCAACTGATCTACCTGGCTGGTAACAAGCTGTCCTTCTGTGCCAGCCCCAGGCATCCAAGGCTGTGAAGATTCTCCCTGGGGCTTCCTGGGACAGTCCTGGTCTCACACCTGACATGTCTGCCTGGCTCCAGGACTCCTGCCAAAAATACTGCCCTTCTAGGCTTTCTACTTGCTCCTTTTTCAGCAATGGCAATATTACTGGTTTGTAATTATTTCAATGTTATTTTTTTTAATGTTACCGTGGTAGGCAGTTAGACAGATACAAGCAGACAAGGCTGATGGGCCAGGTACAGAAAGTCACCAAGGTGGAAAGCCCAGGTGCCCAATAATGAGCAATCAATGGGGGGACAGAGGGGTGGCAGGGAGGGACCTTGCTCCCAGGGTGACTTTTCCTCCCCTAGCATATGGCTGGTTAAGAGGTATGGACCCCATGACATTTCCTCCCTAGAAATAACATCTAGGCCTTAGTTGTATTTCAGCTCCAGGAAAAGGAAAGGAGAAAACCCAGGCAAGAGACACCAGGGCTGACCTCAGAACCAGCTGCATTGGATAATGATCCCCTGCCCTGGTGCCGACCAATCAATCAATGGAATCCTAGACCCCCCAAAAAACACACCTGGAATGCTGCTGGATATTCTATTGAGACCATCCATGGAACCTCGCCTAAAATCTCCTTAAAACCTTTAAGAGGGAGGACCTAGAGACCTGTCCCTCCAGGGAGCACTCCAGTGTCTTTTCCCTCTCTCTTCATCACTTTCAAGCTCCAGGGGCCCTTCCTTTGCCTTTATAACTTATTTTCTAAGCCCATTTCTTCTGTGAATTACTTCTTCTACCTCTGTGACTTTCCAAATAAATGTTCTTGGCTCTGAATTCTTTCTTAGTCAACTCAAGTACCGAGGCTGCTGAACCCAAATCCAATCTGACCTTCCAGTCTGACACCTGGTGCCTTCTCACTGCTGGCAACAACACCAGAAGCCAGCCTCTGTTCTTGCACTGTGAGAAAATATTTTTATTTAATGAATTACATTAATTACCGTATTTTTCGGACCATAAGACACACCGGACCATAAGACGCACCAGTTTTTAGAGAAGGGAAATGAAGAAAAAAAGATTCTGAAACAAATAGTGTCCTAAAATATTTTATGTGCATTAAAACCCAACATCACAGTCATAAACACATGTAATCAACCCTGTAAAGTAAACAGCAGCATTTAGAACCATTTTAGAGCCGGGCAAGCACACAGAGACCACACAGAGCCAGGCAAGTAAAAAACCTTTTTTTTTTAAAGTATATGTGTAGGCTATATTTGGACCATAAGACACAGGGACTTTCCCCCCCCACTTCTGGGGGGGAAAAAGTGCGTCTTATGGTCCGAAAAATACGGTAATTAATTTCTGCTTAAGCTACCTAGCTTTCCCTACTCTAATTCCATTTTCACCCTCCTTCAAGTTGATTTTGTCCTCTAATTACTGGCCAAGATACAGCTGGGGTGAAACACGGATATTTGTATATTTCCTATAAGAGAGCAAGGTGTGAAAAGCCTTTTGAAAGTTGAGGTTTTCCTAAAGTCTCCATATATTTCCAAATAACACTATTCAGATTGCTTACATCTTAATTTTTGTTTAATACACTAATTTCATATAAAATCTCAGGCAATACTGAATATTGAACCCAATTAAATAACTATTTTTTCAAATATATTTACCATCTAAAACTATCTTAACAACCACTAACACTACACATAACTCACTTTAGGCAACACATTATAGACCCCAAAAATAGCATAGCACATATTATTTTAAACAATGTTCAGCCTAATGTTAAATAAATCACCATTGATTAAGTTAAAATGAGCCCAAACCTGATTGGTGTTTTAGGCCTTTAGCATATGAAAGTTAGTGTTTATTTTACCATATTTAAGTTGATCTTTATAAAATTTGTTTAATTGTAAATGAAAGCAATGCATGTGTTTTTCCCTGGGAAGTAAATATTAGTTTTAATATATACAAGAAAAAATAATGTGTTTTATTTCTGTACCAAATAACCTAGTTATATTCTCTATAGCAATCAATTCTCAATTAAAATTATGCTTGCTCTTTACTGTTGTGGATTAAAATGGAAAATCAGGATGTTATTCAATAAGTTGTCTTTATTATCTGTTTATAATTAAATAATAAAGTCTTCATAAATCTTTTGGAAAACAATTATTTTGTACTTACCCACAATGTCAGTCATAAGACCTGCAATAGTCTCGTCTCCTGTGATCCAAGGACGTTTCCCTATTTCATGACCATAGGCTCCCCTGAAAATAAAAAAGGACATAAACATTCTTTGCATGCGTGCGTGTGTGTGTGTGTGTGTGTGTGTGTGTGATTTTTCAAACATCAGCATTAGCAACGGTACAATTCTAAACGAGTTTTGTAATATTCTAATAATTATATGAAATCATGCTTTCTAAAACCAAAGTTATACTTGAGAACTCTGTTTTTTAACTTACTTAAAAATTTATTTGTTTTACTTTTTCTGGGGAGTAGGGTAGCTGAAATTGCCCCCACTCTTATTATTTCATTACTTTTTTGGAACCTAAGATTTTTTTTTTGGAGAATTTTAGCACTATTTGAATACTCTACTTGTATACCTATAGCATATGCAATATCTATACTAAAACATACCTACTTTTTGAAGCTAAAGTCTAAAATTATTATAAAATCCAATTATAAAATATAGCTATAATCTATAAGTTAAATGGAAGTGTATAAAATATGACTATACTCACTTTAGATAAAGAATGAAACTTGGCAATAATCAAAGCCAATATTACATCTTGACCTATTTCTAGAAATGTATTCTATCATATTTCAGCTTAATTTCATCATTCAAGTAAGTCTCTCTGTAGGCAAAATGCACAAACAAAAACATACAAAAAAGAACTTCAAGTCTCAAAAAGTTTTCATTAAATGAGGAAGGCAAATAAATATATGTGAAAAAATACGGAATAAATTAAAACAAAGGGTCAAGGTTGGGAAGGGGAGTAGAGAAGGGGTGAGGGTGGTGTTACAATCTTATATTTCTTAATTCAATCACTCTTAATTTTTATAAATTCACAACCAGTAAACTTGGGAAAAAGAATAAGCATGTGGAAAAAGAATACACTATTGTATAGTGTAGACTATGAATGAAATTCTGTAAGCTGCCAGTGGTCATTGGGTAAACCTGTTCTCAAAGGTGAAAGGTAGAAGAATATGCTTCCCCCAATATCTCTGTGGTATATTATTTTGAGTTGTAGGCACCAGAAAAACATCAACTGCAGGGAGATTCTGTCTCTAAACTTTCCTATCTGCCTACAGATAAATCCTCCAAAAGAAACTCAATTTCTATCAATTCCCTCATTCTGAATTTCATCAACCAGGGAAGACTGGCTCCTGTCACAGAAGAGATTAGAAGTCAAAACCACACCCAGACAAACTTCATCACAAACTTCAAACCTCCCCTCTATTATTCACAGACCCATTCATTTTTCCTAAAAGTCATTTACTCTATCCCTGTCCTTTTCACATTATAATGGGATTTAAGTCTGAATTCTAAGTCACCCTGGGGAGTTACTCATTTTCCCCTGGGTAGCTCATGCTCTCATGAGAAATACATGTAAAAAGCTTGTTTGTTTTTATCTTGTTGATCTGTCTTCCCTCGAGAACAGTGGACAAACTGAAGAAGAGAAATCTTTTTTTTAACCTTTTCGGGTTTTCGTGGTGTGAATACCAGCAATGTACTAGTAGCTGACATCAGGGTATCAACAAAAATCCTGAAAATTTAACAATGGGCTTTTATTACCTGGTCTGAGCCAGTTCTAGGTCACTGCTAGTTAAGAGAATATATTTTTAGAAGGTTGTTGGGCTTAATTTCCCATCTTTGTAAAAGTAGATAGATGGTAAGGATTGCCATGAAAAATAAATAAAAATAACAAGCAAAAAAGACTGGTACACAGTAGTCCTTTCCTAAGTCTTCTTTCCTAATGTGAATCTAATGCTAAAACTCCTTTCACAGGGCATGTGGTGTACAACACAATTTTAAAACTAATACTTCAATTACCATATTAACTGAGATGAAGGAAGAGGACTTTCTTGGGAAATAAACATAAACTATAAGATCTAAGGAGGAAGAGAAGGGCAATTGTTACTTATTACTATTCATATTATTATTAGATAGCCTGCAGCTTGGCTTGGGTACTGACTCCCAATATAAATGCTAAAGACAAAAATCATTATCATTAAATGGTAGTTAAAGGCAGATACTTGGATCCTTTTTTATTTTAATCACACAGAGCTCCGTGGCCTTCCTGATAGCACAATACATCTTATTACATTTAGGTAGTAAAATTCTATGTTCTGCCTCAGAGAATTTATAACTCAGAATATTATGCCACCTACTCCTCACTCCGGTAGACACTGAGATAGGGGTAATAATCTTTAAGGATATGTTTCTCCCTGCAATGCTTTTGGCATCTCCGTCCCTTTAAAATATCACACACAGCGTCTGCTTCCTCATTTTGTCAGGCCACTAGCCCGGGGTAGTAAAAACGTGCTTAGACAGTGTTCCCCAAATAAACTCAAAGCAAAGCGGTCTGTCATTAGGAGAAACTGATGTAGATTACAGTGCAGTCATAAACATTTGTATTAACGCTAAGAAAAGTATGATATTGCTCTCATTCAAAGCTGTTTAAAATAGTTGCAGCATAGTTGCAATCTTCATTTACAAATACTGAAGAGGAAGAGAGGATGGGGGAGAATTAGCCAGAGTATAATAGAAGGCAGTAGATTAGGAACAACGGGCCAGGTACTGATGGTCACCCGGTGGAAAGACCTGGGTATGAAGTAACTTGACCCTGTGAAAGAAAAGAGCCACATGCTAACCTGACAAGCTCAGGGAAGACCTGCGTGGCAGTCTTGCAAACCCAGAGACCTAAGATAATCACAAAAGATGGTTTGAAAATTAAATATCTAACAGGTTATAGTAGGTAGTCAATTCCCAGATATTTCACCTGACAAAGATCAACTTTGATCTTTTACTGAGTCCCTCTGCCTTCCTGCATCTGAGATAATATATCTGTGAGATGTCTGGGTAACTTGTAACTTCCTTTTTACCCCAACCCCTCAGGGCCCAACAAATGGCCTCCAGACAATCCCTCATTGATATTGTTATCAAGTTAACTGTCAACTGTTAATTACTTTGGAGTATCCTGTATCCATCTCTGTAAAAGAAGCTCATGTCCATCATTTCACCTTTTACCCAATCCCAGAGGTCCCCCCCCCCCGTTTTGCTTTGTCCCACCTCCCTAATCTATCACCAATGAATTTCATGTAACTAACCTATGTCCCTTTCCTTTGATTGATTGCAATGTATAAATATAGAAATGTAACCCGCCATTTTCCAGAGCATTATCTCAGTCCATTGAGGTTCTGCTTCCCAGCATATGTCGACAGTTAAGCTCAAATAAACTCACAAAAAAAATTCTTTACAGGTTTCAATGTTTTTTTTGTTTTGTTTTGTTTTGTTTTTGTTTGTTTTCATTAACAACCATTACCCCCAGGGTGACCCTTCTTCCCTAAGCATAGCATATTGCTGGTCCTACAGTATAGATCCCCCTCTAACAGGGTCCTAAGAAGCTAGGAAAACTCCTAAGCAAGGGGAATAGGGAAACTCACTAAGCAAATGAAACAAGGTCAAACCGTTTGGGCAGCTTGCATCCAGTTTGCAGCAAATCCTTATCTTGAGAACAAATGGCTAACACCTTGCCTCACTAACCAAAGATGGCAGGAAAAGAGGGGGAGTTTTAACTAAGCCTCTTATCCCCAACCAGAGAATACATAGCATAAATCACCCTGGAACTGCCAAGGCAGGAGGGGGAAGGGAGAAGCAAGAAAGGAGTTTATCTCACCCACTAAACAAAGAAGTCAGTCATCTGGGGAAGTTTAAACAGAGGAGCCGACACTCTCAGAGCTTGTCAAGATAAATTCACCAAGCATTTCTCATAAATTCTAGGAAGCCATAAACAAAGCAAAAGGGAGACTTTGAGATCTAGTCTGTACCAAGATATCCTGCAGAGGAACTTTAAAACCTACAGACAGAAATTTATAAAAAGCCAAACCTCTACTGGGCAGCACTTCTCAAACTAGTTAGGAAGTCTGTCTGTGCTTCATAAGCCAGGGGTATTTTGATAGATTTGCTTGCTTTTCTTCTTTAATACATTTACTTGCTTTGTTTCTTTAATTTGATTTACTACAACGCCAGCCTCAGGAGGTCACTTTTTTTAAATTCTCTCTCATCAATATGACAAGAACAGGGAACACCCCTTTCCCTTCCTTTTGGCCTCCAGGTGCTGTCCAAACACCTCTTCTGTGCTTCTGGTGCCTACAACACCCCATCTTTCATGTTGCTGGTCATTCCGTTTGGTCCCTCCCCTGACATTTCCTCCCCTGGCACATCTCCAGCAATGTGGTAGACCCCGGCTTAGAGGAAGAACAAGGGAGTCTGAGAATGGCCTCATACAATCTCCATGCCGGCCCTTGCGCAAACACTCCCCTCAGCATTAGGACCGAGAAAAAACCTTTAGGCCTGAGTGGTGTTCCAGCTCCAGGCCCAGACAAGGAGTAAGGGCAGGCTGGCTGCATTTGGCAGACATATGGACCAGCTGCAGTGACTAATGACTTTGTCCAGGCACAGGCCAACCAATGGAGACTATGACCCTGGAAGCATGAAAGGTCACACCTGGAAAGCTGCTGGATATTCTATTGAGATCTTCCCCTGGGACCTCTCCTAAAATCCCTGCCCTTTGGTGTCCTTTGGCCAGAGGGCTCAGCACCTCTCTCTCTCTCTCTCTCTCTCTCTCTCTCTCTCTCTCTCTCTCTCTCTCTCTCTCTCTCACACACACACACACACACACACACACACACACAAGCCTTTCCTTATCTCCTTCCTCCAGGTGCACATATCCTTGCTTTCTTTCTTCTAAGTTCCAAGGGCCCTTGTTTCCTGAGCCCACACCACCCAGCTGGCTCACTTAGTTCTCTCAGTTCACTCCCTCTGCCTCTGTGACTTTCTAAATAAACTTCTGCTTGCATTTGAGTCTTAGCTCTGAATTGTTTCTTAGCCAGAACTCAAGTACCAAGATTGCTGAACGGAGGTCCAATCCCTGGTAACATTCTGATGCTGTGTCACTGCTAACACCAGGCGTATCTTGCCATAAAAGGGGTATTCTGCAAGATGTACATGAAGCAATATTTGCTCACGAAATTAGATTTCAGGATATAAAATATAATTAGGGGCTTAACAGATACGTAGACCCTCTTTGAAATAGGACTATGCTTTAACTAACCTGCAAAATGAAAAGTGGCCTGCTTTGAAAAGCTCTCCCCTCAATAAATATGAATTTGCAGTCTTTCTTCATGATATCACAACTTTTATTTTTTTCCTGTGACCTAATTGATCACTAACACTGATATCAGGAAAATCTCTGTAACATGTTATACCATGTACTCTCTGATTCATACTGAAGGCTGGCAGATTATGCCACACTAAAACTTTCCTCTTTGGCATAGGATTACTTTGAGCTGAAGGCACATGAGAAACAGCAAATGCATAGAGAGGCTGTCTCTGAACTCCCCTTAACCTGCCTGAAGAAGGATGGATCTTCCAAAAGAAACTCAATTGCCATAAATCCCCTCCTATAAGTTTCATCAACCTGGGAAAATCGGCTCCCAAACTGTAAGAGGGTGCAGGCCAGGCTGAGAGACTGCCCTCTCTCGAGTGTACGAATTTTGTGCACCGGGCCTCTACCATTATATAAATATTGTCACTCCACAAAAAAAATACATTATCCAAAGTAAATGTTATTAATCTAACTTAGAAATTGCAGAGTTGGCTGGCACCGGTTTGGCTTAGTGGATAGAGTGTAGGTCTGCGGACTGAAAGGTCCCGGGTTCAATTCCGGTCAAGGGCATGTACCTTGGTTGCGGGCACATCCCCAGTAGGGGGTGTGCAAGAGGCAGCTGGTCGATGATTCTCTCTCATCAATGTTTCTAACTCTCTATCCCTCTCTCTTCCTCTCTGTGAAAAATCAATAAAATATATTTAAAAAAAAAAGAAATTGCAGAGTTGAAAATGATATTGGAAAATAACAATAATAAGAATTTAAAAAGAAACACCACAGAGGTAATTAGTTTATTTTCAATTTTGTCTTGAATATCTTGAAGTTTTAGAAGAAATCAGCTGGATCCTGAAATATTTCAAGGATGCTTCTATTCTTGACCTTTCCTTAGCATAAGAATCAAAAGACAGTACCGTATAAATTATAAGATCAAGCTCCATTATGACCAGTGATGGTTTACTTTGTAGATAGGCAGGTAGTATATCTTTAATAGGCCGTAAACGATGAAGTCATGGAAAATGACGACCGTGAGCCAAATGCCATTTCCTACCTTACAGGTCATGGATGGCCAGTCAGAGACTTGATCTCATTATCCCAGAGCAATATTTCAGCTAAAGCACTCTCATTTTTATGTTACCATTAAGATTATAAATTGTTAATATTATTTTTTCCTGTTAAGCAACTTCAATGTACAATAGCCCACTGGAGTACATATACTCCATGAAGATTACACCGAAGCATGTGAGCAAACAGCAGCCAAAGATAGAAACAGTATCTAAACATAAGGCAGAGCCCCCTGAAAATACAGCTGCCATTGAGCTCCTCAGAGGGAGGGTGGCACTGTCCCCGGGGTGCATATTCAGTTGCCATCCATCTCCCTCTTGTGGCGCTCCCAGCTAGGAAGGATACTGCACATTATCATCAGGAGGAAAAGGCCTGTGGAGCTGCCTCTACTTTCCTACGAAGCCCTAAAACCATATCCTTTTGTTCATCTGGTGTATTCCCTGATCCTGGCTGCTCAGGGAATCGCTCCTCACACAGTGCCTCTGTAAGCATGCGAAATACACTTTTCTCCAGTTAATCTGGAGGCTGTTTGCTAATCCGAGGCCCTCCAACGAAAAGCTTTGCTCCCAACAGAACCTTAGCTGGAAGAGGTCAGCATGAGATTTAAAACTTAATATTTAGGACAAAGAAATGATGAACGCTTTTGAGATTGAAAATGGGGATTGGGGTAGGAGGACATAAGAGTGCAATATTTCACCTCAAACACTACCCAACTGATATCCACAGGCAGGCAGAGCCTTGGTGTTGACATGGCCACTCCCACTTAAAGCAAAAATACCTAAATAAAGCAAAGACAAAAAAAAAAAAAAAAAAAAAAAACCACACAAACAAACAAAAAACAAAAAACAAACAAAAAACTACCTAATTTTTTGCTCAGAAGAAATATTTTTTTAAAAATTTAGTGTGAATTGCTTGAAGTATTAAAATGTACCTCCTTTCTGAATCTTCTAATGAAAATTAGGTAAGAGCTTTTAAGGTTATGTAATACTAGAAGCATGGTGCACAAAAAAATCATGCACATAGGGGGTCCCTCAGCCCAGCTTGCATCCTCCAACAATCTGGGACCCCTCTGAGATCACGGCCTATAGGGGCTTTCCTTCCCTGGGCTGCAGGCAGATGGCCCCACCCCTGCCACTGCCACTGCTTGCCATCTGTGCAGCACTATCTCCCCCCCCCCCCCCCCCCTTCTTGCCATGGATGACCTCCCTCTGCAGGTGACAGGCTGGGGTGCAGTGGCTTGGCTGGCCTGGGCCTCCCTCTTCCTTTGCTGGTGGGTAGGTCAGGCTTGTGAGGGGCCATCTGCCTACCTGATTACCCTAATTGCTGGTCTGCTTACCTGATCACCCCTAACCACTCTGCCTGCCTGCCTGATTGCCCCTAACCCCTTGCTTGGGCGAGCAGCTGTCTGCCTACCTGATCACCCCTAACCTCTGGTCTGCCTACCTGATCACCCCTAACTGCTGGTCTGCCTATCTGATCATCCCAACCCCTCTGCCTGCCTGCCTTATTGGACCTTACTGATTGCTGTGGTTAGCCTACAGTTGTTACTGGTCATTACAACCCAGGGTTTTTATATATTAGGATTCTATTGCTACAGGGTAAAATGTAAAATTAAAAGGTAACAATAGAAAGGTAAGTGTTATGACAGAGACACTTTCCTGAACTATAACTTCAAAGTCTTGAAAATAACTAATCAGCCCTTAATGAAGTATGATAATCATGAGGATATGAATAGGAAAGCAAGACAGCATTTTTCAAAATGCCTTGAGAATAAAAATGCACAGCCTAGCTGATTAACTATCCAGGAGGCAAGGACATCCTCTGAAGTTCAAATTCATTCAATTTAATTCTCTGCTCTCTTTTACATTAAAGCCAAAAATGAATATTAAGCATTTTTATTAACTCTGACCCTCATTTTTAAAACACTAAAACCTGCTTGTGCAAAATGCTTCTAAACGTAGTGATATTTATTTTCCAGTGTGTGCATAAAGACTGTGCAGATAAAGTTATAACATGCTTAATAAATTACATAAACCTTATAATTTTTGCAATAAGTTGTGAATTTATATTTCTAACCACTAAAATTAAGAACTTTGAGTATTCTCAAATAGTTGTGGAAATGATCATTTGCACACTTAGTGCAAACTAATTTTATAGGACAGTGCTATTCCCAATATGAAAAACCAGTGACAAAGAGAATAAAGGGAGATGGAACAGACATTCTGTGTTTCTATAAGAGCCAAATGTCTTGCCTCTTGAGTTCTTACATGGTTTGGTTTCATCCTCCTGAATTGTTTGTTTCTAACCTTCAGACTTGTTTCCCTCTTCACAACTATTTTTTTAGATTCTAAAAATCAGAAAGTGTTTTAAAAACATTTCTACTAATTTTTAATATTTTAAATATGTAAATATCTTTAAATAATATTAAATGTTTAAATAGTTAAAAATATTTTGAAAACATTTCTAGTTTCAGCTTTATCGGTAATTATTAGGTGTTAGGATCACCGTAGGAGGAATGCACGAGGCTGAAAGGGGTAAAGAATTATGTATTTATTAGGGCATCTGGGAAACCAGATGGGATGAGCCCCCAAATGGCACCAGAACCTAGGTACAGGGAGTCAGAGATTTCAAAGGACTCTAGGTGGGCTTTTTCGGCCTGGAGAATTCTCTGGGTGGGTCTGGAGGAGAAAGGTAATGAATGGTCTTAGCAAGTGGGATGTGGTCTAAGTGAAAGGAAATGTCTATTGTGAAGTGGTTTAAGGCAGTTCCTGGAGGGCAGGAGGGTTATTATCAATAGTTCAATTATTTGCATTGAATTCTTTGACCAGACCTAACACTGGGGAACAGTATCAAATGACATGATGACTAAGATTCCTTTGTATCCTAAAATACTATTAAACACCTTTCCAACCATTAGACAACCTAGTGTGATTTTTAAATTCTTCTGTGAGATGTTGAATGACAGCTTTTGAAAAAAAATACTTACATTTTGGCCCACTTATCTAGTTCTTCTTCCAGATACGTTTTAACCGTTTTTGGTTGAAGGCCAAGAGAATTTCCCAATAAATAGACGGCATTTTCATCCTTATTCACTAATGATAAATCAACTGGAATAGAAGAAAATGTACAAAATGTTTAATAAATTAATTCATATTCTTCTATTTGGCATTGCTAATCCAGTGCAAACAGTAAATATGATTAACTTCAAGAAGGACAATAAATAATAGCCAGTTTGGCTCAGTGCATAGAGTATCCTGAAGAGTCTGGGGTTCGGTTCTGGTCAAGGGCATGTACCTAGGTAGCAGGCTCAATACCCAGCCCTGGTTGGGCTTGTGCAGGAGACAAACAATTAATGTGTCTCTCTCACATCAAAATTTCTCTCTGTCTTTCTCCCTCCTTTCCACTCTCTCTAAAAATTAATGGAAAAATATCCTTGGGTGAAGATTACAAAAATACATACATACATACATAACTTTAATTCTTCCCAAGGAAACATCAGATTTTGTAAAAAAAAAAAAAAAAAAAAAAAAAAAAAAAGACATTTCCATCTATATTTTAAAATAATTACACCTATAGAATCATTTCTTGAGGTCTTTCATTTATATTTTGCTCCATGAGAAAATCAATTACTGCCAACCATAAATACCCAAAGGAATTTGAAAAGTTTTAAAAACAGTATTTTTAGAGGAAGTATGTCAGCCTATCCAGTCAGAGTGAAAAGTTAAAGAATTCAGGCAAATACTAACCCTCTGTATTAATTAATGTTATAGATATGCCAAATTAAAAAAAATGTAATTGATGATATATATCAATACAATGAAGTAGATATATTGTATGGTTACATTTTTTTTTCATTCTCTGTTTCTATATACATATGTTAGTACATATAGAGGCAAAGGTTATTCTCTATATCTACTTATTATTCAAATAAATCAGAACTTTAGTGATTTGTCTGTATTATAAGTCTCCCTTGACTGAAACAAATGCAGTTTCACTAGCAAACTAATCCATGTGCTTAAACTACAATATAACCTAGAAATGTACAAGTTTGTAATTGTGTTCTACTAAATTTTTTTCTTAGTTCTATGTGGAAAAAACAGTACCTTCGGGCTAATAATTCATTTGCATCATTTGGCAATATATTTGTCTTTACTTTAGAATACCTAATTAAACATCTCCAGACTTCTTAAGACATATCATCTATTACATCCTGATCACTTCTATAGATATTGTGCCTCTCTTTCACAGTCACCTCTTAAGCCTGACCCAGTGAAAAAACTGTAAATATTGTTTCACACATGTAAATTGGATTCATTAGCAGTTCTTTGTTGACCTAGAGAACAAATATTGAAAGAATTTATTTATAATTCAAGGGTATTAAATTTGTGTATCATGGGTCAAATTTCAACTAAGAACTCAAATAAGTACTTAATAAAGACAGAACATGTCCTGTGTGTGTCAGCCCCATGAGTGATCAAAGCTGAGGAGGCAACAACTCAGATTTCCATCCCCATTGTATAAGTTTTGTTCTTTCATTGTTGATGCTTTTACAGACAAATAGGTAGTGGGCTGCTTTTATTTAGAAAGTCATTTTTTTTTAAGTGTGCTAAATGTGAAAGAAAAACATAATTATAAACCAAATCATCTTGCCTCATGTCAACCCAAAATATGTTTCATTATGTATTAGCCTTATCTTTCTCAAACTTCTGCTCTTCAAACAAATTTTACTTAAGACTCATTCCTCCACATATGTGATATCTCCTGCAGGTCCCACACTTGTAGGTATTATAGATTGTTTCTTTTCTCTCGCTCTCTCTCTCTCTCTCTCTCTCTCTCTCTCACACACACACACACACACACACACAAACACACACACACAACACTGCCAGAATGGCCTGTTTTCTTAGAGAAAATAAAGTTAGCAATGTAGCAAAGTGAGGATAGTTGGCACCATAATATAGACCTACTGTACAACCACACCTCTCTCCCACTCTCCCATCAGTAACTTGATAAGGGAGGAGATACAGAAATCAAATGACAGCAATAATCTTTGAGGGTATTGACATAGCTGCTGTACAAAGAATCCATCAAGCATGTAAATATTATGTTTATAATGATACGAATCAAAGTTATTGCCCTTTCCCCCTTCTCTCCCTTCTACTCTTTACTCTTTATCACAACTCAGCAACTCTTTCTATATATTATATACAAGGGGAAAGGAAAATAAGTTGAACATTGCATTCCCAAATTGTGATTGGCTTCCCTACCTTCCAATTAATGGATTCTTTATGTGTTCCCCGAATGTCCGTTCTGCATTTGTGCCAATAGGAGCCATTGGTTGGGATACCAGTAATCTGCTAGACCGTGACTCATTGCTTCCCATCCTCAAGACTGTCATGTCAATTGTTACTGACTGTCACACCCATCATTACTGATCATCACCTGCTGTTCTTTTATAGTTAGAATCTGAGTCTAGAGTCTTCTGGGAAACAGCCATGACAATTTGACCTCTAGATGAGAACATACTTCTTACTGTTTCAGGGCCAGGGCAAGGTATTTACAGAACCAAATACCTTATGGGCTTGTTTATTCACGATGTGCTCATGGCCTTGTGCTCTTCCCTTTACAAAAACATTCACTACACTTATTCTTTGTTCCAAAGTTAAGTCTACTGACATCAACCAGTCACTTTTGTTGTTCAGGATTTTTGCTGTCTGTTGACAAATTTTTAACATATTGATTTGGTATTCTCCCAAAATATATACAGTGGAACCTTGTTTCTCCAACTTAATTTGACTGTCAGTCAAGTCTCTATCTTCTTTCAATCCTCCTTGATCTGGGGATAGCTTCCTGTTATTTACTATCTGTATTAGTTTGCAAGGTATTTTGTAACGAAGTTCAATAAACTGGGTTATTAAAAGGCTGTTTGAAATGGAATATTTTTTCCCATTAGAAATAATGTAAATTGAATTAATCCATTCTAGACCTCCAAATGATTCCCTGTTTTAACCTTTCTTATATACACTACATTTCTATTGTACTCTTTAACATAAATAAAGACTTTTTTTAAAATATATTTTATTGATTTTTCACAGAGAGGAAGAGAGAGGAATAGAGAGTCAGAAACATCGATGACAGAGAATCATCAATCAGCTGCCTCCTGCACACCCCCCACTGGGGATGTGCCCACAACCAAGGTACATGCTCTTGCCCGGAATCGAACCCGGGACCCTTCAGTCCGCAGGCCGACGCTCTATCCACTGAGCCAAACCGGTCCCGGCAACATAAATAAAGACTTTTGAAACAAAAAGGGCATGGAATGTAAATGAAAATTTAACAAAAAGGAAAGAAAATGTACAGTAAAAACTGAAAATTTTACAATAATTATAAGCTGCAACAATAGTAAAAATGCCACAAAAAATATTCATAGCACAATATCTTGAGATTTTAATAATGGTAAACTAACTCATATTTGTGAATTCTCTCCTTTGTTTGTCACCTGAGAAGTCTGTGACTCATCATACAGGTATCAGCATGAAAGGGTTGTTAGGTTGTGAAGTGAATTGCTCCAGATGGAAGACGTCTGAGGAACAAAATTTCCACTGTATTTTATCAATTATGACTCAATGTTTCTTTTCTTTGAAGTAGGAGTTGACAATTTGGGCATGAGTTCTTGTAATTTCTCAAGAACCTTTTTTGTTTTCTCGCCCACTTCCTTTAAAGGCCTATTCAAAAAGGACATGCAGCTTACTGCAAACTCTCCCTTTAAAAACCAAACCTCTGCTTGATTAACATGTCATTTTGATGGGTTAAGTCTTAAGATTGACTAGCTCTTCTTTTAATGTCTTTACTTATTTTACTTGTAAAGATCTGCCTCCTTTGGCTTTATGTCCATCTAATGTTTGGGATGAAGTAAATAAGGGCTTCATTTCTCTCCTCTGAATCCATATTAATCCTGTCCAGATTTACTGGTACTCTAAAAAATTGTGATATGTGATTTTGTGTTTGTTTTATTGATTTTTAGAGACAGAGAAGAAGGGTGAGAGAGGAAAACAAAAACAAAAACAAAAACACAGCAATTTGTTGTACCACTTATGCATTCATTGGTTGATGCTTGTATGTGCCCTGTCTGGAGATCGAACCTACAATCTTGGTGTATCCAGATGACACTCTTACAAGCTGACCTACCCAGCCAGGGCTTGATTTTGTGTTTAAGTTAGATAATTTGCTACATTTGCTCTGTTAGACTAAAGAGGCACAACACCCAAGAAATGATTTTCAAGGTAGACCAAACAAAGCCTTTTCTGTCAAAAACCAGAAGGCAAACATTTTAGGCTTTGTGGAACTTACAATTCCTGCTGCAAGGACTTGTTTCTATCATGGTGGCATAAAAATAGCCATAGAAAAATATGTAAATAAATAAATGTGGATGTGTTCTCATTAAACCTTATTATTTGAAAAAAATATTTTTGCCAACCCTTTTCCTAAGGTCATTCTCCAAATTCTGGCACAAATTGGACATGCTGCAAGAGTTCATGAATTTCCTATGTCAGTCAAGTCTCTATCTTTTTTCTTTTTCTTTTTTTCTTTTTTAATATATTTTATTGATTTTTTACAGAGAGAAAGGGAGAGAGATAGAGCGCTAGAAATGTCAATGGGAGAGAAACATCGACCAGCTGCCTCTTGCACAGCCCCCACCGGGGATGTGCCCTTAACCAATTTACATGCCCTTGACCAGAATCAAACCCAGGACCTTTCAGTCCACAGACTGAAGCTCTACCGCTGAGCCAAACCGGTTTCAGCAAGTCTTTATCTTTTTTCAATCCTCCTTGACCTGGGATAATTTCCTGTTATTCACCATCTGTATTAGTTTGCTAGGTGTTTTGTACAAAGTTCAATGAACTCGGTTATTAACCAACAGAAATTTATTATCTCAGCATTCTGGAGGTTGTAAGTCCAAAATCAAGGTGTTGGGAGGATTTGTTCTCTCTGAAGGCTGTGAGGGAAGGATCTGTTATAGGCTGCTCTACTTGACTTCTAAATGGCTGTGCTTATGATCACCAATGTTCTCCCTTCATGTCTCAAAATTTCCCTCTTTTATAAGTCA